CTGGAACACTATTAACACCCATTTACAAAACACTACAGTGATGGTTATTGGCACATAAAAAACTCCTTCTCTATATGAAAACATACACAAAATAGATAAGAACTGCCATTTTTTCAGACTTTTAAAATCTATATATAGTTGCCTTTAAGGAGTTTTAACCCCGGTATCACAAACAACAATATTTCTTTAACAATGTTCACCTAGATTTTACTGTGCTGACATTTGTAACACTGCCACAACCTAGACCACTCTGTGGATTATGCTTAACTGTACTGTACACAAGGTGATGGAGATCGATAGAAAACCACTAAGATTTTTGCACAAAAATGTGACTCATTAAAATCCAGAGAACGACTGAGTCACTTTATAGGCAGCAGCTACATGTAAGCTGTAAATGGTACCCGCAATAAAAACACATTTTCCCATAAAGCACATATTGTGGCATTATCTGCTTCTGGCCTGGTACACAAAGCTTGATTTTCTTCCCAACGCAGAGGAGTGGGTTTGGTTAGCTTGACTCTCTCAGAAAAAAGTGCACAAATATACCTTACTTTTTAAAGTGCTTTCCTGAACTGTCTCTTCTGCCTTGACTTCTACCGCGAGATCTCTGTGCTGCGAAGACTCTGCCTCTTTCTCCTTTTTCTTGTCTCTCAGCTAACAAAGCCTCTTACGCAAGTACAATAAAATTTCAAGAAGAGCATGTTAGAAGAGAACTGATGTTAAGTAGAAAGCTGGGTATAAAGCTGACAAATACAGGGTCCATCTTTTATTAGCCCACTGTGTACCTGTGGGACTGCACCCAACACCCTCATGGGTAAAGAAAGACCTTGCCTCAGGGCCTGTGGCAGCCCCTGGAAGTCTAAACTTCTCCCCAGTGCTCAACCCAAGTGACTAAGAAAGGCAAAAGATTTCACCAAGGTAACAAGTACTAACTAGCTTTGCAAACTCCATTGCCACATTCTTACCCCTGTGTAGGCATGTGAGAGGAACACTTGTGTGCTTCTTCCCCCTTAGTCTGCCAGTTCCCCTGCTCTCATCCACAGGACCAAGCACAGTCCCTTGGTCCCACCAGCCTTCTCCCACATGGGAGACAAGCCAGAGACTGCTCCTTTTGGCTATGACACCAGTCTCTACTGAAGCATGACTTTGTGGGGCTTTTAATGCACCATTGCTTTCTTCTTGCCTCCCAACCCTAACTCCTACACCAGTGAAATGCTACATTTACCAACTCATGCCAAAATAAATCGGAACAATGATCCTCAGGATGTATCTGCTCTAGTCCCAAAATTTCTGACAGAGCTGTCACTGCAACTCGCAAGGTAGCAATGTCTACCATCTGTCTAAGGTGCATGCACAGCAATGCAGCTCCAGCCCTCCAAATGAGTCCTGGGGCCTTGCTTTGTTTCTATGTCTATTTTGAAAACAGGTTTGTTTCTCTTCTTACAAGATGACTTTGATCAGCAAAGTGACATGGGGAAGAAAGAAGTGACAAATTATCTCAATGTCCCCCCAACACTTTGAATTTCAACATGGTGAGCAAACTACTATACGTGAATTAATATGAAATAAATTTTAAGAGATTAAAAATGCATCAGGACTCGTTTCCTTTACCCTTGCTGCCAGATCACAACATGTAGAGTCAGCAGATTAATCAGAATTGAAATATCTCAGTGTTGTACATAAATACATTCAACTCTACCAGCATTACTCTAGCACTCCTGATGCACAGGATACCTGAATTATGTGTGCAGTCCTTGTGAAGAAACAATTTCACATCTTCTGCAGAAAGCTTTCAACAAAATGATATTGTGCTTAGACATACTATTTATGTTACTTCATAAATTAAAATCCTTTCATAAGAAATTATTTAGCTACACTGTAGTTTTATTCTTTTATCTGGAATGTGACTAAGTCTACCTTTAGCAAAAATCTCTTAAAACTTAAAATATGCACAAATATAAAAATCTTTGCAAAATAGAAACATTACATTTTCTTGATACATTATAAATTTTCACAGATTCTAAAAATAAAACCCTAATTGCTAAGACTGATTTGAAGTATTTGATCTCATTTTTCTTACACATGGTGCTTGGTACTAGGTTCAGTGTTTCTAAGGTATGGAATGTTGTCTTGGTGTAAAGCAACCCTAAAAGGAAGACTTAAACCCAGCTCTGTGGGCGGGAAAGGGGGAGTGACAATCAAGAACCCAATTTATTTTGCACCCTCATAGCCAGTAGCAATGATGAATAAAATGCACGAGTTTCACTCATTTTGCCTCGAGAAAAAGGGTAGGGGATGCAAACCTTCAGAAAACTGCTTTCAGTAAGGCTGAACTCGTGAGAAAACAAGCCCACTGCTGTACACAACCGAGAGCCACTTCTGAGAGCACCTCTGAAACAGGGCGGGCAGAGAGAGCTGGTCTTCTGCTGCTAAACCCCCCCAGCACTGCCTGCAAAACAGAAAAGGCTGATCTTGTGACAATGACCTTTCCAGTGACTTTCCTTTGGTTATGCCCAGTAAGTGCAGTGGTTTCCTCTACCTGTGGACACAAGTGCAATGAAGCACAAGGTCAGCACTGACTGTGCTGGTGAAGGGACAATCCCTGGCTTGTGCCCTGCTCCAGCAAAACACATCAAGCAAGGGAACATTCATAGGTGTAACAGTGAGTGTGGGCTTCTGATTTTGGGGGGATCAGAACCAGAAGTCCCTATTCTCAAAAGCCAATAAACACTCACTTAAACCTATCAACCGCATAAGGACAGGTTGGGTGTTAACACACCTATTCACATGCTGTTCTGGATAACAAAACTGTTCCAAAACAGGGTCTTCAAATGCACATTTGTTGGTTTTAGGAAGAAAACAATTTGTCCTTAAAACTATTCCATTCCCATCTGTGCCAAGTATCTGTTTTTCTCATTTCACATACTGCACCCTCTGTGAAGGTTTCAAAGAGGTAACAGCCTAACGGAGGCATGCCACAGTGGGTGCATTTGTAGATAGGTCTGAAGACCTGAATGTTTGCAACAGCTCATGCTTTCAAGCATAGAAATATTGTGTGCTTCAAGGGGAGGCAAGATGGAAGGTGTGAGAATCCAGCCTTCTCACTGCTCAAGCTGCTGTTTAAGGTCGAGCCACTCTTTGCAGTGATTCATTTGAAATTCCTTCTGTCTACTATGCTTTCCCCTTTTAGTTCCAGTCAAGTCACAGAAGAATGCTTTAAAAGGTTTTCTCTCCAAAAATATTTCCTCAATTAATGAAGTAAAAAAGAAAAGAACACAAAATTGCTGAAGGTAGTAAATAACTGGAGAGTAAGAACTCCCCTCATAAAAGCTCAGATAACATAATGTCGAAGTTCTTTACAACAAAACCCAATGTTATCCAATTAAAATAATTTAGTAACAGATGTCCAGTCTCAGTTTTGATAGTAATCCTACATTCAAAGTATTTTTCAACCGAAGACAAGCCCACAGAGCAGCTCTATAAAAGGTAACGAACCCAACAACTTCTTTACACAATGAAAAATGAATGTATTTTTACCAAATAAATGGGGGGGAGAGGGGCATCCCACAGGCAGAGGAGGTTTTACCACATTCTTTCATGAAGCAAATGTTTCAAAGATAAGAATTTGAACTGCTAATGCTTTCAAACTCGTATCTCTGAAGACTTTAAGCAGCAAGGACAGGGCAAGGAAAAAAAACAACATCGTATTTTTATGTAGCTGCATAAAATTCAATTTTCCAAGGCAAGCAATCATGGCAGGTGAATAAAATACCATTCATATTTTCATTACCATGCTAAAGGCAGCCAAGTTCATTTTTGTGCCTGACATTTTCTTGACAATTTTGCAATGCTTCGGTAAGGCAATTAACACGAGATGTAGGCTTCTGCCCACTGCTGATATTTCTCTTTAGATCCAGCAAGACACTGGTTGGCTAAGGGCATTTGAAAGAAGAATGTGCTGGGATTCATTTACTCTGGACACATGAAGATAAACTGAAGGCAACATGATTATTCACGAGCAAAGGCGCAGGAGGGATGACCACTGTGCGTTTAGCAGCACAAAACACCTCCCCTCCTTTTCTTTCTTTTAGTTAATGATATTTTGTGTTCAAAACTAGGCACAAACCCAAATTTCAAATGCAAAAAAAGAAAACAAAAATATTTTTTTCCCAATTAACTGGAGCCTCCATGTTGTACCCAGCCATATATACCAGTCCATTTGTACATGCAGACACATACTCAGCTCTGTTTTCCCGCTGTCAGGCAGTTAATTTTGGCAGCTTCTCTCACAAACACCAACTCCTGACTGTAACGTGTACCCGAGAGCAGTAGTGGCTAGTTGGCTAGATAACCTGGTGTAACGCAGATGTCTGCTACCCTGGTGAAGCTCCCCCCAGATGAGTATTGCTCTCTACTTGTTACCTCAAATAAACGAAAATGGAAATTCTCTTGGGATAAATCTGGGAAATGATCCCTCTGCCAGAATAACAGGTATTTGTGTTTTCTTAATCAGTTAAACCTTTTCAATGGTTACCATTACAGCAGCTTATGCACTCATCATCTGTTGTACTGCACAGCAGAGCTATTTCCCAGGCTGCTGTGGGATGGGGATCCAACAAATGTCATCTGCTTTCTGATTAGCTACTCTGTATCCCTTGTCAGTACTGAAGATAAGGACCACTGACCATCTAGGATAGCCTTCTTCATTCATCTGGTGCAGTGCACCCTACTAAATACCTCAGGATGGCGCAGTGTTGTACACACGTGGTGAATTCACGGAATTGTGGAATTCAGTCTCTTTTGGAAGCCATTGCTTTTAGTTATCAAGAAAACACTAGCATTTTGAATTTCCTCCCAAATGGAGCATTTTTGAACATGAAGGCATTTTTAACTAGACAGTAGAAAAGAGAACCAGACCAGAAGCAGGGCAGTGAGGTCATCAGAGAGCTGCTTTTCCCCCAGAAGGCTTTTAAATGATTAAATACACCAGCAGCTGAAAATTATTCCACATCAGAAGCATCATTGTCAGAAAGATGGTAATTACTTCCCTTCACCCGAATATATTCGATATACCTCCCTTCATCAGAATCCGACATACCACATGTACATAGCCTGTTTTCAAACAAAGACTCAATTTCCTCTAGTTTTTTCCCCTTAGTCTCAGGAAGGCAGCCATAGATGAAAACCAGTCCCAAGGCAGCAAACCCTGCGTAGAGGAAGAAGGCTCCTGCAATGTAAAACAGTATGCACAGTCAGTTAAGAAGTTCCCATCCCTTCTCTGCTCCAGAGCAGAGCGAGCAGCAGGAGCAGCAGAAGCAGCAGGCTGCAGATATCAAATGAGTGCATAAAAGCAAAGCTTAGAGTGGCCTTACTGGATCGTTCCATAACAGAGTACATTAACAAAAGCAATTTTATTTCACATGGAACATACACCCTTTCTGGGCAAGTCATTCTGCTGTTAAAATAAACAGCAATTAAACAACTACATACCAAGTCAAGAGCTTAGTTTATATTAAAAGTGAAGGACACACTCAGACAACCCCCTAAAATGAGAAACTTCAGGAAAAAAGAAATAGTCAGGATTAAAATAATGCTTGTGAGTCTTACATTTAATTGTTATTTAAAACTCCTCAGCAGAGACAATTAGCGCTGAGAAGGAGCTTGTTCCCACCCACAAACCACCATACCTAGGGGGGCAGACAATGTACTAAAGGACCAACAAACATTTATCTGTCATGTGTTTCTAGACTGATGACTCAAAAGAATGACAAGTAGAGCTGCAAGGCTCTGTACTAGCAACGATGTGAAGGTCACAGCAACTCCCTAGCAATTTAATGTAATTTAAATGACTTGTACTGGAGTGGCTGAGCAGTAATCTGCCAAACTCTCCGCAGGCTGCAGCAGACAAGACTTAATCAAAAGCTGGGAGTGAGGTGGTAGCATCTTATACAGGTATTTCTGCAAGGACGATCTGATACTGACCTTGGATACCATAATAAACTGGAAAACTGCACATGCTGTCTCCTTAAGTGGGAATCAGCATGTTTCACTAGGTCTAAAGTAGGTTTTGTTCCAGCTTCCCAGTTTCAATCAACTGTCTAGGTTTCCAGTTCAGGAAAGAAATGTTTCTCATGAAAGCTGGACTAAACTCTATGACCCAGGAAGATCATATCTTTAGTAAGACGTATCTCTAGTCTTACTAAACCATGGTGGGTTGAGAACACTGCATTTCACAGCAAAACCAACTGAGCAACCCAGAATGAGCAGAAAATCTATGTGCCAATGGTAGTACTGCATGCACAGACTCAGTGTTTCTTACCATAGTATGTCAGATATTCAGCTGTATGCAGAAATGTCAGTGACACAAGCACATTGAAAACCCAGTTGACTCCAGAGGAACACGCATTTCCTGTACTCCTAGCCCAAAGTGGGTAAATTTCAGAATTGACAGTCCAGGGCATAGGACCCATCCCTGAGAATTAGGAAAAAAGGAAAAATCTCAGTTGAATGGCTGGACTTAAAAGTGAATTTATCATGTAGCCTCACCATGCGACATTCTACCTTTACATTTTTTTAACTTATATGTGAAAACGAACATTTACTTACCAGGTGCAAAGAAAACCAAGTACAAAATAAGGCCCAGAAGTGCTGTCCAAGAGTATGGAGTGGGGCAGAAATTGTATGCCCAAAACAAATCTTCCTTTTTAAATACTGTTTCATTTGAACACCTGAAAAATAACAAAAAATCTTCATATTAAATAATTTTCAAGGAAATAGATGACTTCTTAATATAAATATGGCTAGTAATGGAATCATAGAATCACAGAACGGTTTGGGTTGGAAAGGACCTTAAGATCACCTAGTTTCACCCTCCTGCCATGGGCAGGGACACCTCACACTAGCACATGTCGCACAAGGCTCTGTTCAGCCTGGCCTTGAACACCACCAGGGATGGAGCATTCACAACTTCCTTGGGCAACCCATTCCAGTGCCTCACCACCCTCACTGTGAAGAACTTCTTCCTTATATCTAATCTAAACTTCCCCTGTTTAAGTTTAAACCCATTATCCGTTGTCTTCTGAAAAGCTGACTAATATACAATCAAGATGAAAAACGTAATCCCTGTTAATTTATCAGGATCTTTGAGCCAAGACCAACATTCGGAAACGTGCTTTTTCCCAAGCCTGGTCTTTGGAAGTGTAACCAGCAGAACATTCCTGAATTTAAACACTTGCCTTTTATCTACAGATCTCCTTCAAGTGACTAGTCTTTACTATACAAGTGATCATAGCAAAGCTAAGACCATTCACATGAATATCACACAAAGCAAAAAGAGCTGCAGCAGCAGGACTTTGAGCTAAAAATGCTTCATGCAAGGATTTAAGGTCAAATAGAAGTTAGCCCTTACATCATCGATGAACTAACTATATGCTGCACACTTTGGGTGTAATCAGTAATGCCTATGGAGTGTGCCAAGGTCAAGTGAAGTTATAAGGAGAAGAGGCATATGCTTTCTTTTCTACACAGTGAAACAATTTAGAAGAAGGAGCATTTCTAATTAGACAGTAAAAATAAGAACAGTAAAAATAAGAATCAGACCAGAGCTGAGAAGAACCAAGCCTGAGCTACTGAAACAAAAGGTGTCTCTATTTCCAAGGACTTTGTGGAAATTAAATATTTTGAGGAATAGGTGTAAACCAGGTATTTCAGTTTGACTGCCAACAATATAATATATTTTAAAGGAATACTGGCAACTTTTTTTTCTTTTTCTTTTCTTAAATTAGCATTTGTTTAAAGGGACCACAAGTCATAACTGTAACTAGAGAAACTTCTCAGCTGCAACCACATCAACTGCAGACACCACCCTCCAATATGCAAACAATGTTATTTACTTGAAAAGAAGAACTCAGAGAGATGAACATCTGTCTGGGTTATGATTTACAGGCCAATTGAGAACTTATGTGAAGGATATAACCCTCTTGACAGTAGGAAAACCAGAATGAAGATGCCTCTGAGTGACAGCTTGGCAACAAGAGGTGAGACTGTGGAGTAACAGACACTCTGATATGTTTCAGAGGAGCTACCACCATTGCAGCTGACTTTCAAAAGCAAATTCAAAGAATCCACTTCTCTAACTGTTCTGTAAGAAACAGCCAGCCAGCCCCAGGTTGAACAGGAATATGCTAAGCACTGATGTCCAACCTACCACCAGAAATCTTCCTTATGTTGGCATGGACGTACCAGCAGGACAACATTTAAAGCAGGCTATCACTGTGAAGTCCCAAACCCAATTTCAGGACAGCTGGAAATCCAAAGTTCAAATACACTTAAAACAGAGAGGTTAACTCAACAAATACTGGAAAAACACACACCAAACCCCAGCCAAACCCTAATGCTGCCTTGATGGCAGTAAGCTGTAAGATTTGCAGTTCCACCTTGCACTTGAGCAGCAACTGACTGAATGGAGCCAGCACTCTGGAGAAATGATGATCCCCTTGATGTGTTGCTGGCAAACAGCCAGTGCCAGTGTGCACCCTTCCACCCTACTGCAGCCCTGCCTTGCCAAGCTGCCCTAGAAGGCCCATGTCACCCAGTGCACACAGATTTGCTTTCAGTCTGGAGGTGAAAAACACACAGAAGCCAGGCCTGTCTATGAACATCCCTCTCAAAGATACATTCCTCACGCCCACACACAGCCATCTCCTGGCCTCAGCTGCTGCCTGGCCACTGGAGCATCCATCAGACTAAGACACTAGCAGCTTCCATGAAAGACCTTTTTCACCTTTTCTCAGCCAAAAGTACTTCTGCCATCTTGCCACTTCATCTTGCTTCTAAGCATCCCCCCAGGTTCCTCTTTCTGTTACTTTGCTCTATAATAGCTCAGCTCATTATCTCTTTCTTTGTTGAGTGCTAGACACGGATCATTCCTTGTTAGTGTGCACCCTGATTCTTCCCTACCACCCTACATACTCCTCACTGTGTATTCAAACCATGTTTGAACTGTGCGCCAGGTCTAAGATGTATAGAAGACTGAACTGTGCTGGAGAACCATCCATATGTTTCAAACAGAAGTTCCTTACATGTTAAGGAAATGATGTTCGAAAGATTATTTACTGTACACTTGGTGACCCTGTTGCCACCTTCTGCTCAGCCCTGCATAGCTGCCTGCTCTGCACCTGCACCACTACCAGATTGCAGGATTGCTCAAGTTTCACACCATTTTCACAACATCAATTTCCCTTCTATCGCTGTTATTCTAATTTCATTTGCAGGTGTTTGGTAATGAATACACACTGATTAGCATTTTAAAACATCTTGATGCTGAGACTGGTTCCTCCATCCTGCCCAGCCAGTTTGGCAGCTCTTTAGAGCTGCCTTATGCTTTCTCTCAAATGCTACTGTAAACAATGATGTACTTAGTTTATTATCTTGCATCTATCTCCACCAGTGCAAACCAACCTGCTGATTCATACAGACACAACCATTGAGAGGTCTGGATGTTTCCTTCCCTACCATGTTTCCCCAGATGCATCCTACTTTGACAGAGTGGAACACAAACGATAAAAGGGAAAAAAAGATGTCCCCAAAGCCTCCTATGGCTGAAGCCACACATCTATCCTCTGCTGTCTGCCCATAACCAAGAGGAAATTCTATTGCAAGAAAGCAGATTCAGTGCACTGAAACAGGAAAAATAGCACTTGAGACTAGATTTAACAGGAACTTCGTAGTAATTAACTGTGCTTTGCTTACGCTTCCACAGTTAACCAGCATGGTACACAGAATAAAAGCAAAGACATTTGCATTTGCTGGCATCTTGCAGTGCTGGGTATGTTCAAAAATAACACTCCTCCAAGGCTGGGGATTTGTTCAAGCTCTTTTACACTGTGCTAATTCTACTGCTATACTATTTCTACAAGATCTATTATTTTGCTGAATAGTATATTAATAATTACTGAGTAATGTACTATCAGATAAAATTCTGAATTTTGTCCTGTGTGAAGGGATCATTTATGATGGAAAGTGGACAAACAGCTACACAAGCTGAAACGCCCAGAGGAAAATGCCCTTTAAAGAGCTTACAAGTGAAATGATGCAGTCAGGTATCAGTGCAAAGAGAATGTAAATACCAATATGCTGAGTAATAGTCATATCAGTATAAACAGTGAAGACACACCACCTCATTTCCTCTGAAATTACTGCCAAAGTGAAAACATGATAGTGATACATTGAAAATCTTTGCCGTGAATTTCTTTCACCATGTATTCTCCACAGAAAATTTAAGATGAACATCTGTTCTCATTAGTGAGCACCTGACCTTCCCACAACTGATGCAAACAATTCAACCGACTGGAGATAAATCAGAACAGCAGTAGATTTCTAAATTACAGGAATTATATGCTTGGTTTCATAATCACAGAATCCACGCTTTATCAGATATGGTCTTTAGTTCAGAAGATCTAAAGCTTTGCTCCCCACCTCATTAAATTACCTTCATATGGCACATAAAAGAAAGTAAGAGAAGAAGAGCTGCTGTAGGTCATCTAAAAATGTTATTGCTAATAACAAGAAGATGAAATAGGATAAGATCATTTCCTTTATCTTCAATCTAAATTTTCCTAATACTTGAGACAATTTGGCTGTAGAATAAGTCTCAAGTACAACACTGAAAACCACAGAGAAGGAAATGGCTAGTAGCACCAGCAAGTGAGCACAGCACAAGACAGAGACCAAGTTGATTTTCTTCTCAAATTTCCATTAATTTTTGCTTTGCTGTAGAGTGAGGACTGTGTAGCTTTCATGGGAATTAAATGTTTCATTCTGAACAGTTCATATATCTTTAATGTGAAAGCTGCTGACTTCTCATTGTCTTTTAAGCCCTTCAGAAGCATCTTAAATGGATTTAGATCAAAAGTCTTAAAAGGTCAAAATTCAAATCAAATTGGGCTAAGGAAATAAATTATTTCTAAAGAAAATCACTAATGTCATCATTCATCTCCTTAAAATGCTTGTTAGAACAGGCGTATTTCAAAATTACACATTTTGGTCCGAGATAAAATTTAATATTGGGCGCTGATGGTACAGAAAGATTTTAGACCTAATTCAGTTTCCCCAACCCCCCATTTCTTTGTTGTAACAAGAGGAAAACCGTTTAAGGACTGCTCCTGTGCTAGATTTTTGTGTCTGGGCTATCAAGATGATGATAAACTACAATTTATTAACTTAGTCTCCAGCGTAACACAAATATATTGGATTTTAAAAAATCCCCTTTAAAGAGATTTTTAGTCTCCTTTGCGGAGTGCTGACTTTTACATCATGCCAATCCAACTTAACAATATAAATTTATGCCAAGCCTATTGACTCATCTTTTCATCTGAAGCCTGGTCATTGAAAGGACGGAGGACCAAACAGACGTAATTCAGAGTTGCTGCTGTTTGGATTGAGGACGGCTTTTGCGGAAGATGCTTGGGAACAACTAAGATTATTTATCCACAAGCAATTACTAATCCTGTGGAACAATCTGGGCCTTGACATTTGGGTTAGTTCACACAACTTCAAGCCCCTCTTTTTCTTTTTCTGCTATTTAGTTGTTTGAAAAGACCCCTAACTATCTTTAAATTACTTATGGGTCAGAATTTAGCAAGGTACCAGATTAACCCTGTAACAATTTTGTGATACACATGCAACGAAGGAGAACTTTGGAAAACACCTCTATCCTGTGCATCAAGTG